CTGTTAACCGCTAACCGTACGTTATTTCCTTTCTTTCTTGAACTTTATGCATTACTCTTGTGCCGCAAAGCATTCATCTGATTGTCATAAGAACACTTGCAAAATCTGAGTCTTGTTCTTGGCGGGTACACTACATACCCGCTAATTCGAACTCGGTATTTCGAATTCCAGTTATTCCAAACCCATTTCTCTTCGATTTGCTTTAGCCTTTTCAGTCATTTACAATGGGTTTATTCGAATCGATTTCTTTTCCCTTAGCCAAAATCAGTCCCGTCTATTTAGGGTAAATTAAGTAGAGTAGAGTAGAGTAGAATAGGGTAGGGTAGGGTAGGGTAAGGTAGGGTCGGGTAGCGTAGGGTAGGGTAGGGTAGGGTAGGGTAGGGTAGGGTAGGGAAGGGTAGGGTAGGGTAGGGTAGAGTAGAGTAGAGTAGAATAGGGTGGAGTAGGGTAGGGAAGGGTAGGGTAGGGTAGGGTAGGGTAGAGTAGAGTAGAATAGGGTGGGTTAGGGTAGGGTAGGGTAGGGTAGGTTAGGGTAGGGTAGGGTAGGGTAGAGTAGACTAGACTAGACTAGCCTAGACTAGAGTAGAGTGGCATAGAGTAGAGTAGCGTAGCGTAGAGTAGAGTAGACTAGACTAGACTAGACTAGAATAGAGTAGAGTACAATACAGTACAGTAGACTAGATTAGAGTAGAGTAGACTAGAATAGAGTAGACAAGAATAGAGTAGACTAGAATAGAGTACAGTACAGTACAGTAGAGTACAGTAGGGTAGAGTGGAGTACAGTAGAGTACAGTAGAGTACAGTTGAGTACAGTAGATTACAGTAAAGTACAGTAGAGTACACTAGAGTAAAGTAGAGTACAGTACAGTACAGTAGAGTCGAGTACAGTACGTTCGAAATGGAATATGATAATAAAGTAAAGTTTAGATATAGCATTTAGCTGCATAGGCATGTAACATATGTGATAATCGGCAATCATAGCCAATAATGAAGTTAAAGAACTTAAACAAGACGAGTCTGAAAACCGTTATCGTTGGTTTATTACAGCGAGGAAGGATTACAATATTTGGCTCTCTTTGAGTGATAGTCTTGAAAATAAATCAAAACAAGTGTACAGTTTGTATGACCTTTGGACAATTTTATCACAAGTCTAATCAGGCGTATAAACAAGCAATTATTTTACAAAGAAGCTGTGCTCTTGTTATGATTTAATTACACTGTACATGACGATGGCTTGGAAACAGACTGAAATAGAGCCGAAAATTAATATTGTAAACTTTACTTAACGTAATAAACCAAAACTTGGTTTCAACAATATTAACCATCCTCGGAGTAGTCTTGTCTATGTTCAATTCAAAACTGTTAGATGGCTCTGGATAATGAAAGAAAAAGGTGAAACCTTACTTTGGTAACGATAGCAGTTATTATAAGCCCAATTAAAGGTTGCAATTGCCAAATCAATGGTAGCCTGTAGCTGTTCTTATGATCGCAGTAACAAGTCACCTTTATAACACAAGGCTACGTGATTATGCTTAGGGCGTTGTTCAAAACGTGTGACGTGGGAGAGGTTATTTCATTTCCTAAACACGAATTCAGCCTTGAATAAGAATGGAACTGCAAATTCCTAACTAATGCGTAACACAGTTTTAAGCACATTCAAAAGAAAAGTATAGCTAAAAGTCGCTTTCGAAGTTTTTTTTTTTTTTTTTTTTTTTGACAATTTCACAATTCCGTGTCACTATGTCAGTTTAACATTATGCGGTCGTTGTTCTCTTTGTTCTACAAAATTGCTACAAGTGAGGAAATTAAATTTGTTGAGTAATCATTTTTCAGCAGAGGAATCAATTAAGTAGGGGGTAGGAATTAAGACTCCCGATGATTATTATACATGTTTGCAATAACTGATTAAGTTTTATATATCTGAAGCCGCCAAAAGTAACTTGGAATGAACATGAAATTATCACTATATTGTTCGTAAAAAAGAGGTTCAGTTTACATGAATTTTTTCTCCGGGGCCAAAATTTAGCGTCCTTTATCCTTAATAGAGAGGGTCCGAATTAAAATAGAGGGTTTTAAAAGAGAAGGCATCGACGTTTTGCCGGCACCAATAGAACTGTTCGTGAAAAAAAAGCGGTCTCTATGGAGGCTGTAACAGACCGTAATTTTGTTTGACCGTAATCATTTAGTTTTATTTATTTTAATGCTGTTAATGTGCCATTACCTATCTTGATAATTTATCTGTTGATAATCTATTATCTTTCAGGATTTACGATGGAGACCAACCTTAGCTCAGGAAGGAAGTCCATTCAATTTACAGACAATCAAGGCACAAGGTTTGCGCTGAAAGTCATAAGCGCCAACGATATTGTTTTTGAGGTGCGTGTGTCAAAATAAGAAGATAAACTGAAGACAAAGACATTAGCAAATGTGAAATAGGATGAAGTAAGTCAAATCGGATTGGCTTGAAAAAAAAAGAGGTCATTTTCGCAAAAGGTTCCAAAGTTGACCTAAGTGAAGTGAAGCAAAGATCTTGCGAAGATTTCTGAATTAATATCCCGAATATTTTTGAAGGAGACGGCCTAATAGTTACGGTTAAAATTTGTTCATTGGAGTCATTGCGTGAAACAATTTTCAACAAACAGATTCCAATATTACCGTACGTCTGTTCAGTAATAGATCATTGATGACGTCAAAGTGTGGCACACGGGCTGTTAAACGAGTGTGTCGCTGACGCACGAAAATGTTTATGGCGCCATCTATGAGTCTGTCCTGCAGTTAATACATGTAGGTCATAAGTCAGAACCAATCACAATGCGAGAATAATGTGCCTTGTTATATGATGTGTGATAGGACACGTTTGCTTAACTTGAAGTTCACTGATTTTAATTTTTTAATTTCGATTTGTTTCCATTCACAGGAGCAGAGAAGTCAGAGTACACCGTCCTTGTTTGAAGAGATTAAAATTAAAAATACACATTATTCGTATAGGCGCCAAAACGGTTCCAAAAGCATGTGCCTAATTTGTGACTGTAATGGGAACTTATCTTTGAGCAACAAACCTAACAACGATAGGCAATGTTTCTTTGATAAGGTTTGCACGATCGGAAACATACTGCTTAAATGCTGATGGGTTTTATTTAAGTATTTTGAGTCGTATTTTTAAAATGAACGCTTGCCGAATCGGAAATTTTATCCAATATGCTTTTTCTTCAGATGGCCGATTACATGTAAGTTATGTCTTTTACCTCGTTTGCAGGTTCTAATTACCCAGAGCATCCCGTAAAAGCATACTAATCAATGTAATTGAGTTAAAGCAAAATAAAAATCTTAAGTTGCTGTCATAAGAACTGTCAGTTGCGTTTATTGGGGTCTCTGCATATCAATAAACAAATATTGCAAGTAGAACATTAGCTATTAAGAATTCCAATTGGTAGGTAGCTGACCGGTTGGCTTAATTTTACGCTAATGGAACATTTTACAGTTGCCTGCTCTGTCACCTGACCTCTGAATGGCAGCGAGGCTGGAGGTGACTTTGTATTGATACAGACCTCACTGGTTTTGTTGTGTAAATCAAGTTGTTCTTATGCTAACTAATTGGCGTTTAGATAAGAAAAGCAGAGAGGTCTGTATCAAAGCCAAGCCACCTTCAGCCTCGCTTGCATCCATGGGCCAGGCAACTAAGCACAGAACGATAAAATGGCCTATTGCGATGTGTTACAAAGGATTCCAAAATCTGAGGATGTTTTCAAATGCCCAGAATCTTGTTTTTGTTTTTCTTCTTCTTCTTCTTCTTCTTCTTCTTCTTTCAGATGTGATCTATCTGACGTTGTAATAATGCCAAGGCGATACTTACCTAAATAAACTAAAGAAAATGTCAAACAATGGTGGACCCATTTAGAATGGTTCACAGTCTCTCTAACTTATACAAAAGACAGTAAAATGTCGTGCTATCCTCAACAAAGTTAAAATTGCTTGAGAAGTTCGCAATTTGTTCGTCATTCTTGTCTCTTTCGTGATTTTAAACCGCAAGCTTAAGATGACAATGAAAATTCATTTACCGATTAAACTCCCTCCTTCATAACAAACTAAGGTGATTTGTAGGCATCAAAACTCAAGTCTCTCCCTACAAATCCGCCGGGCGAAGTTCTTTCAGTTAACCTACAAATTTTCGTGCTTTGTTTATCTACGCTCTGAACCGGTAATAGGAGGTCTCGTGCAATTGTAAGATCAGATTGCCTGTGACATGAATATCTTAAATAGTTGCGATCTAGACGTTTATTCAAATCTGCCTTTCTCCAAAACGCTTAGTGTGGCGTTTGCGTGTTTTCATCCCCTTGTTACAGTATCGTTTTTGACACTCGTAGATCAACTTCCCCGCCCTAGCTAGTCATCTCTATAGATAACAAGCCTCGATTGAACGACGATTGTTTATCATTGTGAGCATGTGGATACAGGTGCCAGGGTTAATTATCATCTTACTTTCTAAGCGCAGAGATTCGGCCATCGATCGGGTACGCGCGTTACCACGTAATGCAAAAGAGACATTTTTCATGTGTGATATTTCACCACCTTTTTACCGTCGATCAAAGTAAAATTTACCCTGTTTCTTATTCGTTGCTTACCTGTCCTTCGTCCCTAAATATGAAAACAACTAAATAAACCACAACTAGAAAAAAAAAAAGAACGCTCATTTACCCGCCAGTACCTTGGCGTTTTCTTCCCAACTCCTGCAAATAATGCTGATTGTTTAATTATTCCATTTTTTCTAGCCAGGGTGTTAGTTCTGCGCATTAAGACTCCTAAAACAAATTGAAATTTATTACTTTAGGAGAGCTATGTTTAGGTAAGAAACAACTAAAGCGCGAAACTAGCGGAATTAATAACAAACTCAACACACCAATGCAAGACCAGAAATTTAGCAAGTGGCCTAAACGTAATTCCAAAATAATTAATATTTACCCTGGAAACCATTTAATAATTCAATAGCAAGGTCAATAAACGTTACGTGCTTTGAGCGATCAAGGCAGTCTACAGCTCTGTAAGGGCCTTAGAGGTAAGACATTCGTATTTATCTACCCTCTGTTCACAACTACTTAGAAGTAGGCAGAAAAATTTATGCACAAGCTTTTTGATTTCTTCTTTTTTGTGGAAATATTATTCAAACATTGATTAACATAATTAATCTGTCCTGTCTCTGACATGTTCTGAAGTATATGTACTACATCTTTTTCGTCGATTCTTGGTTCATATTTCTGATCTCTTTTCGTCTCTAGGCACACATTCACCTGATAAAAGCCCTTTTTCTTCGACAGAAAGATGAAATTCCAGCTAATCCTGTGTGTTACTGCTCTCTTAATCGCCTTTGCGGCCGCGAGGTCGTTAGAAGGTACGGTAATTAGTATTAGTATTGATAGTAGACCCAGAATTTGTTTGATGCAAGTTGTTGGAATATAACTTTAAAATAATTTAATGTCGCGTAGTATAACAAGCAATTTCAGTAGTGGAACATACAAAGGCCAAAAACAAAAGTACAAGTAACTTTTAACGGCAATGACATAAAGTGTAAACTGTTTAAAGACTTACGCTTCTTGCACTTGAACTACGCGAAATTATTCATGGTGCGGTTCGGTTTCTTTACTAGATTGATTTATTTCGAAATAGCCTTTCTCCTAAATAATTGACTACAGTCTCAGAAGGAATTGTCCTTTTGAAAGACTTTTAAAATTAAACTTGACAGGGTCACATGTATTCGTTCTTATCTAAATATCAAAGGTTTAAAAGAACGATCAGTTTTATTCCTACAAGTAGAACAACCGCAAGTAGAATGTTATTGTTCCATGACTCGTCATTTACAAGCTGAGCAGTTACTCCAAGGAAAGTGTGGCCCTGGTGTTAGTTCACGCGGCTAATTTTGCATACCGGGACATACATGTAGGAACGATACGACGAGAGAATGGTAATGAGTTAAGGTCAGGGCAAAAAGAAGTCTGTTTTGCGCAGAATTTTCATCCGACAACGTAGCTCTTACGTAGAATTCCATCTATCGCACTCAGTCGCCTGAGGCCTCTGACTGTCAAATATTAATCTTGTGGTTGACAAACAATATTAAAAGTAATGAAAAACGCAATAACATATTTATTCACATTATTTTTAGTGAGTAAATACAGGCAGCCTAAAAATGAACCACGGCTTTTTTAAAGTAACTTTTTTTATATAACCCTCTGTTTGACCTGAAGAAATATGGGACCCCCACGAAAAGAGCATGTTTACAATACATCACTGGCTTATGATGTCTTATTACTTCATGTTTATTGTGAATCCTTCCAACAGTGTAAACGAAAACAAAATGTAAAGGATAAGCTCAGATAGTAGTTTTTGTTAGCAATAACTGACCATTTTGCTAGTGCTAAGTGTTTGTTAGATGTTGCGTTTTGAGTTCGAAATATTTACTCCCTCACATCAACCAGCCACTTTTCGTTTCCTTTTAACTCATATGGCTTTACCGAATATAGTAGAACCTCGCCGAAGCAACCACTTTCAGTTGTGTTGATGGGACGGGTGGTCCCTTAGTTAATAAAGATTCGACGGCTGTGTTTGCTGGATAGTGTTTTATACTTGGGAAAAAATTGTACAGTCTATTAAACAATCAGGTTATGAGCTCGAGATTTCTATAGCGCATAGAAATCGAGAGCGAATAATCTAATTGTTTTAGTATAAATCTACTAATCGTTCAAAACTTTATCTAAATCCTCTTCACAGACACTTCGAAAACGCCAAGAAGCGGCCGTCATTTCGTTATCAAGGGCACACTGTTACGCTACTCACTATCTATCACAGAATAGATAGTGAGTAGCTTAGCCAATAAGAGAACGGCATGCGTATTAGAACGCTAGTAGATTTATACTGAAAGCCGTTAGGTGTCTGTTCAACTAGTTGCTGGTTGGAAATAAGTGAGAACAAATCACTGGCATGCGAAAAAAATAAAGTACAAGCTGGTTCTTGTTTATTGTTTTATTTATTTCAAGACCAATGTTGCCAGGTACCTGATATTTTTCAGTTGTAAATAACTAGTTATTGGTCTAATATTTTCTAGAAGGCGTAGTCGCTTAGCGTAAAAAGTAATAAGAATCGGAATGATTACGTCGGTTTCTTTTCTTCCTTCGTGTAACATTTCGGCTGATAACGTCAATTACTGACCGTTACTATTGAGCTCCAGAAAATAATAAAACATCGTGATTCAAATGTTAACCGTTCGCGTTTAAAATCATTGCAAGCCAACCCATTTTCTAAGACAAACAATTTACATATAAACGTTGAAAAGTCGAATCAGATGTTTAGATCCCTTAAACGTTTATGCAGCAAAGGTTGGGCCTGAAACACAATAGTGAGATAATGACCACGCCTTGTGAAATTCACACGGCATAGACCGTTACGTTTCTTTTGACATTTACGTGATGCTATTAAGCATCAGCTGGTGTTATGCTTCAATTGGTGACTGAAGCTGTTTAAGTATAAAAATATATACCAGCACAACTGGAAAATACTGATAGCTAGACTCGCCTTGAGTTTGTGGAAACGCGCGTCATCTAAATGAATTTTTACAATAACTGTCTAATTTCTGGCTCACTGATTGGCTCATTTTTATCATCAATAAAAGTATAGGCGGATAAAATTGTAATTTATGCAAGCTTTCTAGTTCAACTCGCAGCTGTCAAACTGTCAACTTTTTAACCAATGAGATGCTATGGACTTTTTTAAGTAGCCAATCAAAAAGTGAGAAAAGCTATTGACAATGTTCGCTTCCTTTTGAATGAAATTTACTTATCTCTGTTTACGGCAAGTTTACGGCGTCCTTTCCCCTCATTTATTCCCGGCATTTGACCATTTTGGGGTCTTGTTATGGTAAAACGCAAATTGATGTCAGGCTCGTGGTTCCGCAGCCACTTTGACAATGTTATGACGCAATTTATCATCAACAAGAGGACAGACGCATAAAAAAAAACTGACGTCAATTTGTTAAATGTGTTTTTTAGCTTCCAAGCGGTGTTGTCCACCACCACCACCACCTCCTCCTGTTCCGGCACCTCTACCAGGACCTCCTGGACCAGCCGGTCCTCCTGGAGCTCTTGGCTGCGCCGGTCCACCTGGAGCTACTGGATGCCCCGGATGGAAGGGACCCCCAGGGGCAGTCGGAGCACCCGGACCAGTTGGACTTCCTGGTAAACCTGCCCTTCCTGGACCACCAGGACCGCCAGGACCTATGGGACCACTCGGACCTGCCGGATGCCCCGGTCTTAAGGGATGCCCCGGACTTAACGGCGCCCCAGGACTTATTGGGCCCCCAGGTCCTCCCGGACCACCCGGACCACCTGCAGCCCCTGCTTGTTGCGGTTAGAAGGGCTGAAAGGGAACAGAGCGACAACCAAAACCTGCTGAAGCAGCAGATCAAATTTAAGCTTAGGATAAATGAAACCCATTTTTCTGTTTTAGAGAAATCTGTTGTCAAGCAGAACGCTAATAAAAGATGTTTGCACTACAAAAAGTCTTTTGTGCTCTGGTCTCGATGTGACACTACGATCACTACATTACCGAATCTAAGCAATCGCATCGATCATATTAAAGCTACTCTCCCCCGGGGGGTTCTCCCTATTATAGCCTATACGGGGAGGCTCCGCCCGAAAGAACAGGGTGGGGATTTCACAAGTTGAGGTTTATGAAATGGTAGGAAAATATGTCATTTAGTTAATTAAGGGCCTTCAATTAAGACATTTTCAGCAGACACATTTTATGGCTATATCACTTAATTTACTAAGCACTACATGAAAATGACAAGAAGGTTTCCTTTTCTGGTGACTTTTTCATAATACTGGCCGTTTATGAAAGCATGTTAAGGGTGTACCTTTTCTGTCAAAATGGAATACAAAAGGGTAAGGGGTTGGACCTCGGGGAGGAGCTTCCCGTATAGAACTTTGTAGAGTACCTCTTTCCCACGCCCTCCCGGGCTAATCTCCAGCCAGATCGTGGCGATCACTAGGATAATCTCCATTGAAAACATGCCACAGCGTACAACACTTTTAAATCTCAAGAAATAGAGAGCTTTGACTGTCTATATAGAGTTCAAATTCTCAAAAGATTGGAAATAAAGGAACACAATGAACCGTCGTCCGTCGAGTAATCATTGAAAAGAAATTCAACATTGGCGGTTTAGAGCTTTCCTAAGGTTTGACAATTTACGTTGACTCTGAACTACGTCCTTCCAGGGAATTTTTTTAAAAACTTTACAAAAGAAGTTGACCTTATCGTGATAACTGCAATTCCACAAATTATCGCACTGCTTGCAATTTAAAATTTTATCGTTCTTAAAGCGTTAAAGAATTAAAACCAATGTAATAACTGTCAATTTAAAATATTATATACTTATATTCAAATATAGTGTTAAAGAAAAATGCTTACATGAAAGATCAACCGTAAACTTGGCTCTGATTTTGACTCCTTCTCCTCGAATTATTAAATCAGGTGCGTTAAATATATCAATACAACACAAAAACGAAAATGAAAAAAATCTTTCCTTCACAGCAAATGCAATTATTCTCCCTACCCAAGAGTAAAAACGGCTTTTAAGCCATCTTTCTTAAAAGAGAGACGGCAAGAGTTTAATTTTGCCCCTCCCTGTTTGCCGTAAAGGTCATTGTTAAGATCTCTATTATTTTACTGTCACACTTCCTTCCCTAACCCGACAAAACACAAGGCACACGTATGGGGCTGTCTCATTATAGAGTATAGAGCCTTTGGTCAAAGCAGAAGCCCAGAAGAAGTAAGGAAATCCTCTACATTGATGGAATAGTTAGTTCAATGTGAAACTTACCATAAATTGCAAGCTGTGAGTTCCAGATTCTTAAATTATTAGGCGTTCTGAATTTCCTTTAGTTTCGCTGGTTCTTTTCCTTTTATTTTTGTATCCAAGGCGCAAGTGGAAAAAGTAATGAACAAAACCGCGTTCGGTAGGTACTCAGTCTTCACGAGTCCGCTTTTGTCTAAAAAGAACTTCTTAGCGCGTCGTGGACCACCAGTTCACTATAGGCGCCAAGCGTTAATTTTGGCTTTTTTCACTGCATAGTGCTTTGCCTTAAGCCTTCGAAGGAATTAATTTATTTGTGGGGTGCATTTGGAGCTAGATGCGTATTTACTAAAACAATTTCTTATAATTAAGAATTAGCGTCATTATCATTGTACTTTCGCCCTAATACTATAGGAAAAATGAAAACTGACACCTGTCCGTATTGTTGACTTGAAAATGAGTGTTTAACGTTGGCCTCTGCAGCTAATCTCAAATTTTCGATTGAGACTGGATCTAAATAAAATACATATACTTAGGTCAACAATATATTTTTGTTAATATTATGTCTAGTTCTTCATAGTATTTCGGAAAAAAAAAATATTCAAGAGATTACAAGACTTGTCGGGAATGTCAGACTATAGAATGAAGATCTCATGAATTTCACCGATGTGACTATGATTCATTCCAAAGCCTGAACTGGAAGAATGATGTAAAAATCATCTCCCAAAATCTTAAAACTGTAGCAATAGATACTAAATAGTACAAAAAAAAACACTTTGCTTTTTGCCGATGTCTTTTTGTTTTCATCAAAGACATCTATATTTGAATAAATAACTCAGCAGCTGACACTCGAGAGATTCTCACCTAGAGTTGCGTGTTCTTTGACACCTGGAACGACAAGTTCTCTACTAAGCTAACCAAATGATTACATTCATGTTTCCAAACGAACTTTTAGTTAACATTAGTGTCTGTCTCTAATATACTTCAGGCCAAATAAAAGAAACAAGATTTTCTGGCAGATTTTGAAGTTAAAAATACAGCCAAAATGAGATGACTAAAGCATGAATTAATAATTTAATAGTACAGTCACATAAAAATGTTGGCCGCCAAAATGACAAGACACTTTACTGGTCTTTACGGACTGTTCAGGTAAGCAAGAAAAACCTTTTGTCATTCACTTGTTTTTTTCTTATTTTAACTTTTATTTCTGCTGATAGCCTTGACGGTATCCTCAAAAATTGTTTCACGTGTACTCTTGCACACGAATTTTGTCTGTACTTGAGCTGACCGCCTGACCAGCAATTCTGTTCGTTTCCCTAACGCAGACAAATCATCACACAATGAATCAAAGCCTATTTTCTGGATATCATTTGCTAATTTTCGCTATTGGCCAAGACTAGTACAGAGTGTCGCCATTAACTTTAATTTTAACTTCCGAACATAATAAACCACCTCATTACACATGAGAAAATGAATGGTACAATCTCGCGCTAAAGATATCAAAGGTAAACTATATTGCTTATTTTTCAAATAGTGCTTGAGGTGAATATGCCTTAATGACTGTCTTCATTATATACGTTTTTGTATCTCTCTCAAAAGGCCAAAAAATGAATATCCAATTTCTTCTGAGTCTCGTAGTCGTGTTTGTTGCTTCAACGACAGCCAGGTCTCTACAAACTGGTAAGTGCATACTGTCACAACTACACAACTATTTTACACCAAGTTTAATGGTTTTTATTGATGAGTAAAGCGTAACAGATCGATCTGAATCGGACTCCAGGAGGTCTATTTTAAGAATACAATAATGTGAGATAAAGTAGTAGCATAGATAATTTAGTCGTCAGTTAGTCATGGTGACTTTTTCAAGTTAAATTTCAAAACGAAAGTGAACCTATAGGCCTGTTTACAAGGAGGGAGGGTTACCCTACCAAGCTGGTTGACCCTAACTGGAGGGCAAAAGATAGCCCCTGTTTACGAGCGAAATTTCACAGGTAGGGTAATCCTACAATCCGGGACAACTTAATGCGCGGTTACACTCAAAGGGTCTGGAAAAAATTAGAAAGTTAACCCGGGTAGGCGGGTTAACCCTACCTGGAGTGTTAACCCGCCTGCCAGGGTAACCCTAGCACGCAGATAGAGTAACCCGTCCACCCGGGTAACCCTAGCTGCCTTGTAAACACGACGAAAAAAAAAAACAGAGGAAATGTGTGAGTGCTAGGGTAACCCGCTTGCTGGGGTAACCCGCTTACTAGGGTAACCCGCTTGCTAGGGCAACCCGCTTGCTAGGGTAAACCGCTTGCTAGGGTAACCCGCTTGCTAGGGTAACCCGCTTGCTAGGGTAACCCGCTTGCTAGGGTAACCCGCTTGCTAGGGTAACCCGCTTGCTAGGGTAACCCGCTTGCTAGGGTAACCCCTTGCTAGGGTAACCCTCTCTCCTTGTAAACATGCCCTATGTTAACATTGGTTGAGATAGAAATGCAGCTTTTAAGGAGCTCTAGGAATATATTAGTGCCACAACTTCCAATCTTCTGCAGCTTTTCCCATAAACTACTGGCTAACGCCACCTTAAATTGGTTTATAACTATAGACAACACAGAAGATATCAATAGGCCACATAATACATTTGCGGAAACTCGAAGAGTGGCTTTCTATATAATCATAATGATCTCGTTTGTTTGTTTGTTTGTTTGTTTGTTTGTTTGCTTGTTTGTTATGGAAATGTCATTTCGTCATTGAACAATGCAGTTTTCCTATGAGAAATTAGAAAACTATTACTGATGTGAAAACCTGGCCAGAATACACCTTTTAAGGGACGAATATTTTTTTCAAAAAACTGGTTTTGTAGATCAATTATAGGTTTCCACGAATTACTCAAACAGAGTTTGAGTCTGAAACCTCCTTCTGCTTTTTTTTTTTTAATTTTCAAGACTGAAATTTGTTCCTCAATTTTAAAGACATCATATATAAAAAAAAAACAATGAAATCCCTTTTTTGATTACGCTAGTGAAACTTGAAAAGAATGAGGATCTAAAATGTCTGTACGTCATTTGCCTTGCCACTTTTCTGGCATCTGACTTAAAACAAGTAACAAACTTTTGTTTTAATCGGTATCTCTGACGACACTGCATTTTAATGTTCATTCTTCTATTAACTCTGTCATTGATGACAAGACCGTTCTGTCAATCTATTTTTCCAGTCACCAGGAGAGCATGTTGTAACTCTGCTCCCTGTCCGCCCTCTTCCCCTCCCTGTTCGCCACCCCCACCACCTCCTGCAGTCCCAGCACCAGCACTAGCTGGGCCTCCTGGACTCCCGGGGCCACCTGGTTGCCAAGGTCCCATTGGATTAGCCGGCTGCCCTGGTTTAAGGGGACCCCCTGGGGTAATCGGACCACTCGGACCACCAGGACCTTCCGGAGCTGCTGGAAAACCCGCCGCACCTGGACCACCCGGACAAGCCGGATGCATGGGGCCAGCTGGACCTCCCGGGTGTATGGGTCTCAAGGGATCACCTGGAGCAGTTGGACTACCCGGCCCGATAGGACCTCCTGGAATAGCCGCTACCCCTGGGGCACCAGGATTACCCGGAAAAATGGGAGCCCCTGGCGCTTCTGGATCTCCTGGTTTCAAAGGAGAACCCGGAGCAATTGGACCACCTGGACCTCCCGGACTTCCTGGAAAACCTGCTCTTCCTGGCCCACCTGGACAACCCGGAAGCATGGGTCCTCCCGGCCCACCCGGATGCCCTGGGCTTAAGGGGTGCCCTGGAATTGCCGGAGCCCCTGGACTTGTTGGACCTGCTGGACCTCCGGGACCTCCCGGACCGGCTGGACCTCCGGGAACACAAGTTGAAGTATCACCATGTAATAGCGGAGGTGGTTGCGGAGGTAGTTGCTGCGGCTAGACCACGTAACTTCTGTCGAAAAAGCACAACTAATTTAAGTTTCAGTTGAAATATTTTTGATAGGAAATGAAAGAATCATACAAAAGAGACTGTGCCCTGCTTCACATGCATTTTAGTACTGGTTGAATGCTCGAAATTTTCTGCATATTCATATGGTACGTTCAAGAAATTGTGTTGAAACTGTGAACGGAATTCGAAAAAACAGCAAACGAGGATTCCTCTTGTAATTTGTAAAGAGTGATTGACAACTGAAAATTAAAGTGAATACGACCTCTACTGTGAACAAAACTCTACATGGCGAGCCCTGTTACCTCTTAATAGCTATTTCGTTGGATTTCTTCGCTCCAAATGTTCTTCTGCTTTCGTCTTCTGCTAACCTTCAAAACGCTTTGAACCTCATAGAAACGCAGCCTTGTTGTTCAGCAATAGGTTGAAAGTTAAATAAGGTGTAAGTATTCCATGATAATTGACACCAAAAGTGGAAGCGTATTCAATGTGAAAAATACCCAGTATAGTTCCCCATGACCCGCTTTATATCTAGCGTTAAGAAATGTTGCTGCCATCTCAGGTGCTTCCTTGATCTTTAAGTTACCTTTGTTAACATCGCCCTTGCCAACAAAGGATCCTTTTTAAACTGACTTTATTGGTTGACCAGATCAATAAATAGGACTTACGTGAATGATGGAAAAATACATTTTGTTAGGCGATTTTAATATAGAGAAAACAAATTTGCCTAAACTTTCTAGTACTTATACTTTGCTGGATCAAAACTGGTAAACTTAATGACTTGATACTACAAATGTGATCTGAAACGATGGCCAAGTAATTGGTCAACAGTTTATCGCCATTTGAAAGACATAATATGCTATAAAGCTACCATAGCAAACAATGGCCTGTTAAAGAGAAACACCTCAACAAGAGGGAGAGCAGGTTTGCCAGGTAGTCCCATTTGGAACCACTGGACCAATGGGACTACCTGGGAAACCCGCTCTCTTTGACTTGTCTGCTTGACCCTAAAGTGTGGGACCAACCGACACTCCTGGAGTCTCAGGACTTCCTGGACTCCTGGTAAAACAGGACCACTAGAATATTTAGTCCCACCATCCAATACCACATCCCTAAAATAGTGTAGCATTATTCATTACACGTCCTCACTACGTCAACCTGCAGTATCACTAGTTACAACTTATCACGGGACCATGTCGTCTCACAGAGTGCTCATCAAGGGGTGAAAACTCGCTGACGGGGTTTTTCTGTTTTGTTTTTTCTGGCAAACAAAATCTCGCTTGGGTATTCTCAGTTCTTGTTTCACCTCTCGCCAAAGATTTTATCCGAGCTGACCAGTTCATGGTATCTAATAGCAGGTTCGTATTTATAGCGTTCTCTTTGTTTTTTGTTTTCTTTCTGACAACATGATCGACGATGAGCTCATTTATGTGCTTATGGCAAAACGCTTTAGTAGCTAGTCGGACTCACTCTTACAGTTTTGCACAAAAGGACAGTCTAAAGAACCAAATTTTGAGATATCATTTGATCTATACTTTGTGACATGGTACATATTTAATAAATGATATAAAGAACTGACAATTGCAACTTTTTAATAGACTGGTGTTTATCCTTTTTAGATCTTCAATCTGTAAGGCGAAAAACCTACCTCTTACACGGACCTTATTAATCATGACTGAAATGTTGATTTTCATAGTATAATTCAATTTAGCTATGGTGTTTGCCAGGGGAAAAACAGAGTAAGTAAGGAAAAATTCTCCGAAAATCGACTTGCCAGAATATTCCATCATGTTCGACCATCAGATAATAGATAAGTACAACGGAATTTTTAACAGTTTTGAATACTTACTCTGTAATTTGACTATTTACCCACTTCATAAGCATAAAATACTTGTGAATTAAAAACGTCATTCTTATTCTCGCTGAGATCTCCCGATTTTAAAATCGCTTGCTCCCTCAGAAATCACATGGCTAATTTTTGTTCTAAAGGGATAAGATAAGAAACCACATGGTAATCATGGAAACCATTATGGTAGCTATTGTGAATAACGCCTGAAAACCAACCTTATGAACGATGTGTTGATGTGCCAAATGAGAGAATTTCTCTAATTGCATCCATAGCGTTAAAGTAAATTTTACAGTAAAGCGTTTAAAACGCTTAACTAATACCGTTTCTCTTTGAAGCTTGGAAATCAATCGCATAGAGTCACCCTGCTGACTGTGGTTCCCTTCTTGTTTTGGAAAACCCAATCTTAGTGCTGTTAGTTTTAGAGAAATCCAAGCCAATTTCCCCAATGCCTCATTTTAAAGCAAAATACACCCTTAAGGCTTTTCACCAAGAAATGGAAGGAATTTTTTTTATTTCACGATACTCCACGTACTGTTGAGTGATTAATTGGACGCCAGAATTCAAACCCTTTTCTAAATTCTCTCTCGTCAGCTTATAAAATACTACCCCGTACAAGAAACTGTCTTTCGTCGTTAAAACTAGTCAGAGAGCTTTTTCGCAGACACATTAAAAGACGAGAGTACCTGTCTGAACCTGTCCAAAATTCTACCCCCCCAAAAAAAATATTAACCAAATAGATTCCGCTCATACTTTTTACACTGTATTTATCTCGGTGTAATCGTAGGCACACCCGTTAGGGACACGGGAGAGTGACTTTGCGCACCTTTCTGAAGAAAGAAATTTTTCCTGTGCACTTTGTTAGGGTAACGCTAGGGAAGGTAAATACAAAGTTTCTTCCTTCTCAGTTGGGCAAGATACGTGTTAACGTTAAGTTCACAGCTTTACGTTTTAGCTTGTCTCGCGTATTTACAATCAATGCTGGCCCGCACTAAATGACGAGAAAGGTGTTTTAGTTTCTTCCCATAAGATTAATCTGTACGAGTGAATTGGGACGAGACGTTCAGAATATGTTTGCTGTTTTGAACATTAAAGTACTATAAGCCAAACGTTTCTTTGTTTTTGAGTGGGACAGTTTCAAGTCCTTGGCTAAATTATATGTATCTTTGAAATTTGCAAGACTGGTAGAATGGACAGCGGGGAAAATCCGTTTAGGCACTATAAGTGGGAAACTAAAGTAGATATAAATTGACAGCATATAAAGTCTTCCCAATTTCTTGGGCACTTTAATTGGTCCTAAAAGGTATCGAAGTTATACAGTTTGGAATCGGTATTCCAAGTGTTCCAAGGCCCCGTTGAAGGGCGGTAAAACAAGGACAAAAAGTTTCGCAGGTGATTTAACTCAACCTTTTTCACTAAAAAATGCTCATTTAAGAGATCGTTATTAATTTTTAAAATTGCATCCAAGCCACAGACTAAACCAGAAGGATTTCCGGTTTAGTTTAGCATTTTGTTTGTGTTAAACATTCGCAAAGCAGAAAATTACAATTTTCAAGTTTAATTAAGTTCAATTCACCAGAAATCAAATTATTCTAAGTGATAAAATTAAACAATGTGTTTCTCGTAGGGAAGATATATACTAAAACAATTTATACCTTGACAGTTGAATCAGCAATAGAAACACCCATGAAATACTTTCGCAGTTACTGAGCTTTTTAACAAATATATGTAATAGCTCACGTGTTCTAGTATACCAGTGTAAGAAATACCATCAGTGCCTTTTCTGCAGTTGAGTGACAGATGGACCTAGCGCTGTACTCTTCATATTTTGTCACTGACTAATTTCTTAGTTAGTACAGTTCTCACATTAATTCAAATTGTTTGCTTTACTGAAATTATTAGTGTTATTTGCTGAACCTTGTTGTTTTATTGGGTAAAGTTCATTTAACATGCATGAATCGACCCAAAAATAATCCACAGTGGTTTAATGTACTTATTACACGAAGGTCTACTCACTTCTTAGCTACTTCTTGGGTTTTTATCCGGACAACCCACAATTTTAAGAGGAGTCGCATTGGAATTTATAGCTTTTAACTTTTGGCGTACTCAAAATTCCTCCAAACTAAACCTGAACCCTCGCTTTGTAAAAACTGAAAGATCCTAAAAACAACATGCAATGCCATCAAGTCAAGCGTATAAAGTGGGCTTGTCTGGGACGACCCAGAAACCTTCTTCACAGCCTGGCCAGGAACTCTGCGCCCATCCCCAGACATATTCACCACTGTTGAACTGTTTGAAAGATGAGTAATATAGTTTAACTTTTCCTTCATTATTCTTCGTTAGCATGGGGTTACAATATTTGGAATTTGAATTTATAGAACAGGACGCATTCTGGCATGAAAGATAACATTTTCAAACGTTAGGGGAAATTTTTCTTGCGGGACACGGCGGGTAATCCCGAGCGGGCAAGATGGAGCTATCTTGCCCGCTCGGGACTACCAATCACAGCGCAGGATTTGGTTCATCTTGCCCGCTCACGGAGCTGGCCATATAATAATAGACCGTACAGCTGCATAGCAACAATAGAGCCTGTTGAAAAGAAACACCTCAACTACGGCCCATTAGTGTTTTACTATCGAATTGTGATCAACTCGTTAGGAAATAACGTTCTGTAAATTTTAGAAAAATTCTGCTGATGGGGTTAGAGCCACCTTCAATTTTCGAAACTGCAGGGTTGTTCTACCCCTTTCGTGCTTCTCGGGACCTCTTTGAACTCCTTGAAAAACTAGCCCACTGGAAAAATGAAGTAATTACCTGTCGTGCAGTTGAGGATTCAGGTGAAACACTGGACTTATGAGACAACTGGCAAACCTAACTCGTCAGGTTTAGCCGAAAGTATGGGATCCACCGACACTCCTGGAACCTCAGGACTTCCTGGACCCCCTAGCAAGACTGGACCAGCAGAATCTTCGGTTCCGACATCCATTACCACATCCACAAAGCTGTGTAGTATAATTCATTATACGTCCTCTCTACGTCAACCCGCAGCATCACTATTTATAACAAATGATAAGGTGCTCATCTAGGGTTGGCAAGTTCATGACAACGTTTTTCTGCTTGGGTTTTTCTCCATCTGGTCAGCCGGACAATCTTGCTCTGCGATTCTCAACTCTCATTTCGCTTCATGCCAGAAGTCGTTTTATAAGCTGACCAGTCCATGGAATCTTTAGATTTTATAGTGTTCTCTTAGTTCTTCGTTTCCAATCCGACGGCAGCGCCAACGATGGGCTTTATCAATGTTTTTATGCCAAAACGCTTTAGTCACTAGTCGGACTCGATCTTATTATTTTACAAAAGGGACAGYMTAAAGCACCAAATATTGCGATCTTATCTACTTTGTGATGGCATGTTGCATACTTAATAAATGACAGGAAGAACTGACAATTTCAAAATTTCAATCAAGCTGGTGTTTTTCCTTTGATCCTTTTATCTTCAATCCGTAAGGTAAGAAAACTTATCTTTCCCCTACCCTTTTGATCATGGATGAAATGCTAGTTCTCATATTGTAATGGAAACTAGTCACGATTTTTTCCAGTGAAGGAACGCATCAAAGCACAATTCTCCGAAAATGAGCTTACCCAAATATTTCATCAGTCTGTGCTAAATAATGCTCGAGTAGACAAGTACGGCGGAATGGTTATCAGTTTTGAATTCTTACCATGTTGTGTGACTGTTTACCGCAATTTTGAAAGCACACAATACATGTGAAAAACGTCATCCTTCGTCTAACGATGTTATATTTCTCTGCCCCCTCAGAAATCACCTGGTTAATATACACTTTAAAGGAAAACCATCGGAGTGGCTATGGTGAATAACGCCTGTAATCCAAGCTTATGACCATGTATGTTGTACCAAATGAACGATATTGACTGATCAGTGCATTTCGTTGAATGCGTCACTGGCCAAAAACTAAATTTACAGTGAAGCTTTTAAAACACCCAACTGAGATCTTTTCTCTTTAAAGCTTGGAGATCAATCACAATGAGTTTCTATGCCGGGATTGGTTCTCGTGGTTTGGAACAAATAGTGCGCTGTGTAGTGCTGTTAGTTTTAAAGAATTCCAAGCCAAGACGTGTTATTTGGTAACGCTGATAATTTCCGCAACTTCTCATTTTAAAGTAGATACACCCCTAAAGCTTTTCACCGTGTAATGGTTACCAAAGGGTACTGAAGACACAGGAATGGAAGCACTTTTCTGTTTTCGCGATACTCGAGCACCGCCTACTCTTGCATGTTTAATTGTACACCATAATCAAACCCTTTTCTAAATTCTCTGTTGTCAGCTTATAATTCACTATCCAGTACAAGAAGCCGTCTTTCGTCGTTAAACAACTTTGAACAAACTCATAAAGACACTGGAGAACCTGTCCGAACCTGTCGAGTGTAGACTGTTTCTGCTCTGGAAATGTCGATTGGGCGTGAGTTCTGTCTGTTCAAGAACAATACGTCAACCAACAGAAAATACAAAGTTTCTTCCTCGTTTATTGTCAACGATAAGTCCAGACCTTTACGTTACTTTCAACCCGTCTCAAGTAGTTACGAGAAAGGACAAGAGGTGTTTCAGTTTCTTCCCATAAGATTTTAATATTAAGTAATAAAAAAGACAAACGTTTCTCTTTTTTTCTCTACATAGAACAGACATTGGTTAAATTTCAAAAAATACGGCAGAATCGACGGAAATTTGCCTCAATTTAAGCCTTCCTACTTTATAAAACATGTTAATTAGCTTTAGTTAGGTGAGATGGTATCGAAGGCATACGTGGGCTCTTAGTTGCAACCAGTATTCCACATATCAAACTCCTCAAAATTTCTTCGAAAAGACCATTTAAGGTAATGAAATTTCTTTGACCTCGGGGTGATATATTCTGCTCTGTGTCGATTAAGTATCAATTACAAATGAGGAAAGTTAACACTCACTGAGGAGATTCGTTTTGTTTAGATCACATCCAATTGGTTGGAAAAAGGACCAGCAGGCGATTAAGTTAAGTTTCGTTCATTTGAAATTTGCTAATGCTAATTTAATTTACAGCAAAACGAGAAAGCAAGGAATAAATATATCAAACGTCTGTAGACATATTGTTACCGTAAACCTTCGAACCCGACGTAACCGTCCCACCGTCTGATCCCTCCGCTGATATCGATTCTCGGTCTCCAGTCCCCACTCCGCTACCGAACAACAAAACACTGCGAGATCCTCGTCTATACTCACCCTTCTCGACCTCTGGTATTATTTTCGTGGTAAATTATTTCACCTTAGCATCAGGTTCATAATAGAAAGGTTAACTACGTTTGTGTTCTCATTGAGGCCTCTTTGGAGGGCTGAGTATATAACTAAAACAAAAAGTTACACTTCATCTTAAAGACGGCCAACGCGCGTTGTAACGTGCAAGCGCTAGACGCTATTTGAACCCAGTGCAGTAATCACCCCATTTACGCAAACTGAGTTCAGTGACATGTTTCTTTTTTATCGTCCTCCAAGATTCAGGTACTGGTATTTTCGGAGGTAATTTTACTCAACACTATTCATGATAATATCAAATTTAAGAGGTCGATATTAACTTTAAAATCGCACCCAAGCCACGGACTAAACCAGCAGTATTTCTTATTTATTTTGGCATTTTGTTTACGTTAAACATTCGAAAAGCAGAAAATTAAGCACCATTTTTAAGTTTCAGCGGCAATTAACAATAAACCAAAGTAATGCTAAAGCCATGAAATAAAGAAAAAAACAATGATATTCACACAAAGAAAATTTATTCGAAAACAACTCATACCTTGACAGTTGAATCACCAATAGAAACACCTATGAAATGCTTTTACAGTTACTTTTATTATTAAAAAAGATAGGACCAAAAGCTGTCGGGGTTTCTCATTCTAGATTGGAAGACACTATTTCACCGGGCTCATGTGTCTTAGTAAACATGTCAGTCCTAGTAAACGAAGTGATTGTCTCAGTGAATCGTAAGTATTATACAAACAATAAACATTTAATCAAATCAGTACCAGAAAGTTGAAAAATACTAAAACCAATAGGATAACTCGAATTTCCTTTTTGTGCTAAAACCAGTAACACTAAATTGAAATAACAAGCAAGCTCTGAAGTTAAATGAAGTGAACCTTTAAGATGGGACGTGTAAATTATGCTACCTCGGCGTGGTCACTTCAAAGTGACTTTGATTCTAATTTTAATGCAATAACACATCTTTATTGTACACATTTTAATATCTCATCTTATACAGTTTGGAAGATTAAGCCATTTCAAGCCGGTTTAGAGAAAAAAACCGAGCCTAAGGTCACCATGAAATTAAAAGTGCCAAGAATCATTAAGGATGTTGAAAAACAAAAACACCGACACTTTAAGCTTCAAGCTCTGTCTGTTATCTATATCCAGGTTTTGCCTTACTCGTCTTTCTTGCAAATGAGCGACTGATAGACGTTGCCCAGTGCGCTCTTCATATTTTGCCTCTGATTAATTTCTTAGTTGGTTTACTGAATTTGTTGATTTAAGCTGCTTGTTTTCCTTGAATTGTCAGTGTTATTTGCTGATCCTTGATGTTTTATTAGATAAGGTGTATTAAACATGCATGAATCAACACGAAATAACCCAATCTGGTTTAATGTACTTCAAGGAAGGTTTAGTCACTTTTCGAGGTTTCATCCCAATTACGCACATTTTTTAATATAACACACATTGAAATTTATAGCATTTACGTTTTACCGTACTCAAATTCCTCCAAGCTAAACCTGAAACCGCACTTTATAAAAAAATAAAAGATCCTAAAAACAACGTACAATGCCATCAAGTCAAGCGTGTAAGTGGGCTTGTCTCGGACGACCCACAAAACTACTTATCAGTTCAGTTGCACAGAAAGGGGCGTTTTAACAACCTGACATCACCTGCCTCTTGTGAGGTTGCTGACCAATCACAGACCAACACCGCAAAGAAACGCATTTAAAATTAATTACTTTCATCATGGTAAATACTACTGTCTCGCAGAGCTAGGTCACATCTTACTGTATTCTGTCAGGGCAGAGAAAAGAGGTGAGCGAACATTTTACTTTTTGAGTTCCTGATCCATAGTCTTCCATCAATTCGCTTGAAAGTTATGTAAAATTGCCTTGACCTAGACAAAATATTACTTAATCGGTAGCCATAACATTATTATTTTGTTTTTCAACAAAATCTGTCTTGTCGCGATGATCTTTAGTGGACTTTAATTGGAGCGATTACCCTATTTTCCACACCACTAAGTGTTGATCACTCTTCTCGTCAAAACATTGTTCAATAAATTTGTTCCTAAGTTTCCAAAGATTTCCTGAAGCTAATTTCGTTCTGTTTTCTCTTACAGGCAAGATGAATTCCAAATTAATATTTCTCCTAGTCCTTGCATTTGTGTGCTACGCACATGCTAGATCGACAAAAGGTAAGATTTTGGTAGTTTATTTATCAAATCAATAAGTCAAATGTTGATCCGTTTTAGAAAAATAAAACTGTGTTGTTTGGGTCATAATCAAAAACATTTCTTCGGTTAACAATCTTCAATTGTTTGGTTTATTTCAATCATAAGAGCAACCGACTTTTGGCACTGCATGTAAAAGGAACTGTACGAGCGTTGTGTGCTCAAGTTCTTATTTTAGATAGGACATATTTCAACAGTTTTAATACAAATGTCCCATAGTTCTTGACAAACTGAGTTAATTTCTAAAAATCTTTGTCAAAGCTGTGCCGGTGGCGAAATATCAAGTCATCGAACCTAAGTAAACCAAAAAATAGGTACTCGATTTTTCAAAAATATTTTCTTTTTCGTTCTGTTTATTAAATGTTTGTTGATCAGTTTAAGTTTTTTGCGTTATTGTTACCAGACATTTCCGGCCACAGCTCAGAAATTAAAGGTTAAGTCGAACAATTTTCTTTGTGGTAATTACGGATCAATAGTATTGGTAGTTCTTCTTGATTTTTTACATAACCTGACACACGCTTTAAAAAAACTGTATTAGGCACAAAAATTCCAATTTAGCCAGAATTTAGCCAGGTGGGCTAAAAAGCTCTGTCTTTCTCACTACTCTTCTATGAAAGGACCAAAGCGTGAAAGAATGTGACAAATGTCTGTCCAAGAACAATAAAACTGAACAGGTGGCTTCTGTTTTATAGTTTAGAAAACTCCGATGTCTTAATATTTCCAAAAAATTACACAACTTGACTCTCGCTTTTGCAAAAAGACTGTTTTAAGAGCAAAAATGTTTTAAGAATTTAATGAGGCCAACAGAACTCTGCCCTTTTGCTGTTCTGCTAGCAAAGCACCAAGGCGTGAAGGAATACGATACATGTCTGTCCAAGAACAATGAAACTTAACAGGTGGCCACTGTTTTATAGATTAGAAAACTTTATTGTCTTAATTTTTCAAAAGAATAATATTCAGCTAGTTTTGATCCGAACATTCAAGGAGCACTATATTTTCTCAGATGTTTTGTAGAACTATTAAATGTTTTTCAATGAGTAAAGTCTTATCCGTCATTTTCCCCGAGATTTACGCAAGACAGTAACTTGTGAATCCGAATGGAACATTTCTGCTCAATATCATTCCACAGCGTCGACAACGTATAGTAATTTGCGTGAGGGACTAAAAAATAGAATATTTCATCGTGATGGAAGATGTTAGATTAAATGATAGTTCATCACTATTCTGCAACATGGATTACTGGCCCATGGAAACCGTTCAGTTAACATGATGTTTGATCGAATCGTAGCTAATTGTGGAGTTTATTTTCTTACAGGTTCCAAACGTTGTTGTCCTTGTTGTCCACCTCCCCCACCACCTCCACCACCAACGCAACAGATTGCCGGACCAATGGGACCAATGGGACCACCAGGATGTTCCGGACCACCCGGATCCCCCGGATGTCCCGGATGGAAGGGATGCACTGGACCCATCGGTCTCCCAGGACCACCCGGCCTCCCCGGCCCAATCGGTGCACCCGGACCAATGGGACCTAAGGGATGCGGCGGCGCCCCTGGTCTGCCAGGATGTCCTGGACTCAAAGGATGCCCAGGATGCTCCGGACCACCCGGACCTCCCGGACCAGCTGGACCCCAGGGAGCTCCTGGAGCTCCTGCCCCTGCCCCCTGTCCACCCCCACCACCACCACCATGTTGTCCTGCTCCCGCCTGCTGCAAGTAAATGGCCTCCTTTATAAAATCGAAGGAATAATCAAATATGTGCTTTTAATAAACTTTTGTTTTGGACTCAGATAAAGGAAGTGGCTGTAGTTGTTTTAGTTTTACGATACGCTTTGCAAAAACTGGGGTATCTGGAAAGGAAAACACGCGTGATCTTTTTAGGGTACAAACCTCAATCGACTATAATGTTGAGTGATCAGTATCAGAGAAGGAAATAAAGCCATATCTCACCGATTGTATTGATGACGAAAACATAGAAGCACTCATTGTGAAAAAGTTCTCGTTGTAGTAATTGCAGATTGCGTTGGATGCGATTAGATTCATTCATGTCCATCTCACTTGTAAGTAACATTGGTTCTTTTTTTAGAAGGAATCACAAGACATCACCAGAACCACTGAAAGCCAATAGCCCAGGTCATCATTTGATCAAGAACATCAGGAAAAGTCATGACTAAAAGAAAGTTATTGTATGCAAAGGTTAGCTTTTCCTGAAGCCTTTTGCAGATGAACAAACCATTGATGGGTTTATTCTCTTTTTCAAAGATCTCGTTCTTGTTTCGGGCCAGTACACCGCTTGCACTAACGATTTTGATTTTGTTTTGTCTTTCAGTGTTTTACTGAAAACCCAGTTGACAATTTTTGAGATCGTCAAGAGCATGAAATCTGGAAAACCGACGTTAAAAAAATGCGAAAGTATAAAACCAAGCATGTAAAACGTGGTGTTTGACCAATTAAATGAATTAAAGACAAATTGTTAAACAATTAACGGTCAAATTTTTCACGTTCGTCCCAAATAGCTATATCTTTATTTTCGCCGACCATTTTGCAAAGATCGGTATCGGTATAGCCCCATTCACAAGATAATTATTTCTGATGCGATGTTAGTTGAGAATCAGAGCGGTCATTTCCGGTGCGATATCAAATTTGAAACGCCAAAATAATCAACCTTCGCGTTGACTGTAATCTCTAATTCATTGGGATTTTTGATGCGTTTAACATCCGATTCTCCCATTAAAGGGTCCGACGTAAGTGTTGCCCCATCCACCCCACCCGTACAAGAATTGCCGCAAAAATGGCGGATGAGCACTGCACTGAGATCAAACACTAATTTGTGGAGCGTTTTCACATGACGTCACGGTAGTCATATCGGCGTTCGAAAACAGTGTTGGTGTACCAAACCAATGCTGTGTGATTTGACCTCTTTTCTTATTTAAACACTTGCACGTGCTGGTCACGTGAGTTCCACAGAGAAGTTCTTTATTCACGCTCTATAGTGAAGTTATTGGCGAACGAATTTGACATTACAGGAAGAAGAAATTCAGATTACACAATGGGCAAATATGCAATGTTTTTGATAAGGCATGTTTAGTTAAAACTAGACAAACAAACAAACGGCACAATCGTTTCAAACAGCAATCACAAAAGAAACGCAGGTACTCTTCGGGGTGGCATGAAAATTTCTCAAAAGAAAATGCTTGAACAAAAATTCAGTAAGGATACGGTCTGACCATTGTTAAAACACAGCTAATACTTTTTGAAATATGACTTCAAAATTCCAAGCGAATTGCCTAAAAAGCCATTACACAATCACCTCGAGATCGCTGGTACTTTACGCCGACGATTTATGACTCAAAAAACGTCACACAATTCCGAGCTAAACTCGCATAAAGTTCACCATTACAAAGCCCCGATGGTGGACATCTAATCTTTATCGGCTTGCGCGCATATTTCCTCCTAAATTGAATCTTCGCTAGCATGACAATAAGGCGTAATGGAAGAGGCTGATGCCAAATTCTAATTCTGTCAACGCACAAGATTTCTTAGATGGATTTTATTCATATCAATATAAACAGACGGACGTAGGTTCCTTTATCATTTTTACAAACACCTGTGGTTTTCAACAGTGAGGCACCAGCTAATGACAACCTAGCCGGAACATTTTACCTGTTCCCACACGTTTCAGTGTAGGAGCTGGTCATGATTGAGAGATATCATGTAAGGTAATCTGTGACTCGATCGGCAAACGATATCCAAAGCAGAACGATGACAATTACAGTGTAACAGAATGTTTCTTTTACCTGAACAAATTGTCAATTCCTGTCTGAAGGACTGATGTAGGTGAGCCGGGAGACAAGGGAACCTCTAACACTAATGCACCTTTAATTTGGTGGGGATTTTTCGAGGGAAGACTTTGTTATTTGATCGCATAGTACATAAAAGGTTACCCTGCAGTGCAGGCGTTTTCAGTGTGTTCACGAGTTATCGGTATTAGCTCGCAATCGAGTAAATTCACCACCATGTTGGCTTAGGAAAAGTGGACGGGGAAGGGGGGGGNTATTAAGGGGCTAAACATTTTAACAGAGTCTGTCGAAACATAGTAATTGGTTTTGGTATCATTTGCAGATAAGCCACGTTGGTAAATGTCCCTCCAAAGGTGGTAGTCAATTTTTGCCAAGTACTTTAAAAAAAAAAAACAATACTGGTGGTGGATAAGCTTTATTATTTGGGTGACACAACGTTAACCGTTGCCAATTGAAAAAAAAAACTGTCTAAACTTCCTCGAAATAATCAAGCTTATTAAAAACTAGATCATTAGATAATGCAATTCAAGAGATTTCACTGGCTTAGCCATCATGGTATATGAGCCATTATATTACGCTCTACAAATATGGTAAACGTACGTCTTACGTTTTCAATATTTTGGGGGCGTTTTTAATAAAAACTATTAGTCCACTTGCGTTTGTTGTATATGAGATAGTTATAGCCAACTCAACGCTACGCGCCTCGTTGGCTATCTACCATCTCATATCCAGCAACTGCGAGTGAAATAATTGTAAATTAGACTTTTAACATTCTTAATCTGATTTAACTTGCAACTTTATCAATTTTGTAACTTTTTTAACAACCAAATTGACAAAGATATTCTCTTTGCAATCATTTCAGTTAACAAAGTCTTGAGAAGCAACCCTCTGCCTTGTTCTAGGTCATGCTGTAGGAAGTGCTGCACGAACGTTTGTAAAAGGGGATGCATATTTTCCTGCTGCGCCTCCCGTCTTCCTCCTCCGTATCCTCCGCCACCTCCGCCGCCTCCCCCGTTTCCGGCTCCCACACCACAGTTAATCCCAGGACCTCCCGGTTTTGATGGTATATGTGGATTGCCAGGGCCAAATGGACCCAAAGGATGTCCCGGATGTGTAGGACCTCCTGGACCACCCGGACCCCCAGGGCCCCCTGGACGTTAAATTCCTCTTTTTGAGATTCGATCGGTCGGTAGCAGCTCTTGCAAGGTCTCCCACGAATGACGCAATACCCTTTGAAAGAACAATAAAACAGAAGGCAGAAACGATGCACTTAGCCCCAAACGGAATTACAAGCCTACGGGAACTGCTACACTTCCAGATTCGACTCGCAGCAATGATAGTTATATCTGACATACGTCTGGTAACTTAGACACTGCCAATTTCGATCTGGTGGAACGTCAAAGTTCTTTTGTTTATTTTAAATAATCTTCGTTTTTAATATTCTAAAAACAAAACTCGCTGCATTCCCGTCTTTTTATGAAGGATATGATCTCAGTGTTTTCATTCATAATGTTGCTCATAGCTCACGTTATAGTAGTTTATACCGGTGTGCATGAAAATGTTTTTTCTCATAAGTTCCTTTTTCAAACTTATTGTTTTTGTTAGGAGCTTCAATGTACATACAAAGTAATCATTAACATATGCGTTTTATCGCAAAAGGAATGTAAAATTCTCACTTCAAAAATACAAATAAAGATGATATGTATTATCTCACTGGTTTTGTTGTTAGCTGGTTCACCAGGTTACGTTTTGGCTGCTTCTTCTGTTGCTGTTTTATTATTATTATTATTGTTACTATTATTATTATTATTATTGTTGTTGTTGTTGTTGTTGTTGTCGTTGTTGTTGTTGTTGTTACTGTTATTAAGATGTTGTTGCTTCTGATGCTGTTCGTTGTTATTTTTGTTGATGATGATCATGACTTTGCTGCCGCTATATAGAATGATATAGCTGCTGACGTTTTTGTCAGTGTTGTTATTGTTGTTGTTGTTGTTGTTGTTGCTGTTGTTTCTATTGTTGTCATTGTTGTTGTTGTTGTCGCATGGGATGAAAATGTTCCTGGTGATGCAAAGCTGCTGACAGAAGCGGCAGGAATCTTCTGTTTGAGGAAAATGTACAGGCCCCCAAATGATCCCCAAATTGTGCCGAAAATGATCCCAGGACCGAAAATGGTTCCACTCAAAAAGTTAGGAATGTCGTTTTTCTCGTAATAGTTTTCGTTTATGTATGCGAGCAGCACATTAACGTTTTATGGGAAAAAATATACCTCTCTATTACTTTATCTAAGAAACAGGACCTTTTTTACGGAGCGTCAGGGGATAATATTTTTTACCGAGGAATATTTGGTCAGCTACGTGTATCCTTGAATGTTCTAATGAGATATCGTGGTACTTTTCCT